ATATTTTTTTTTTTTATTTAAATAGTGCTAGTATCACTAGTTAGAATATTGGCCTGTCTGAATATGTGTCCCTGTTGAGGAGTGTTAGTGAGGTTTGGAGGTGTTTTTGCCTATTAATTTGTAATTGCCTTTCAGTGTTGCTTCCACTCTGGCTTTCCATTTGTGTAGACTTGACATACCCCATATGCAGATGTGAGCCTGTATTTAATTTAATCAATTACAGAATATGTTAAATGACCACTAGGTCATTAAATGTTTATTAGCAATAATTGTTATCATTACTTTCTGTCTCCTTATTTGCATGAGGGGCCAAGCTCCCTAACAAAAAAGGACAGTGACAGGGGCTGGGATAAAATATAGTATTGTAAGGAGTACTTACAAGAGTTACATTTTATGCATGTGGTTTTTAAATAAACTACATTTAGTTACAGCTGCTCAAGTGCCCCTGGCAGTGTTCTAGCTTGTTTCCGCCCCTCTCTCTCTCTCTCTCTCAACATCGACATTTATATCCATCAGTAGATGCTACATTACATTGTAAAATAACCATATATCCTCCACAAAATTTCCTGTTTACTTGTGTGGCTGTAATTTTTATGCCATACAAAACAATGCATTATTAAAACAACCCTGCCACTATGTGTTTAAAAGTACTAAGCTAAACCCTCATTGTAAAAGAAGATACACTGCGTTTATTCTACACTTCTTGTTGCATCGAATACCTGCTCCCATACCCAACACTGTGGTTCCTTATGCACCACTGAGCCCTGACCAACTCTGTACAACAGCTTTGGGGTGACTAGGAACATCAATTGTGAACCACCTGTTCTCATCCAACAGCAGTACTTGACCTCAAAGATGCTCTTTTGGCTGAATAGGCAAAGAATTCCCACAGACAAACTCCATAAGTCTTCTCAAGGAGTGGAGGCTCAGTGGCGGAACTACCGCCGGTGCAGGCGGTGCGGACGCACCAGGGCCTCGGGCCTCTAGGGGGCCCAGCACAGTCCCAGATTTTGGAATGGGATATCTAACAAGCTCATTAGGTGTGATGGTCATCTGTCCACAAACCTTTGGTCCATAGAGTATATATGGTAGTTTATGGCAATGATGCTTTACATCTATTTTAAGAAGCATACCTTAAAAATGCTAAAATGCTTAGCAAATTCTTTTTGAATCTGACGTTCTTCAGACTAGTTATGCTACTACAATGCCAGTGCATGTGTATGAAGCCAAAAAACTCACTCCACTCAAATATAATCATTATTTAATTTGAGGATTATATTGAGATTAAAGAAACCCTTCTAAATCCAATTACATTCACAGCTCTACTCTCTACATGTGCCACCAGGAATGCTGTGAAACACTTACTTTCTTTATACTTCACTTGCATGGCTGGACCCATAGCCTTGCCTCCCTTATTGTGCATCTTCAATACCTGGTTAGTGGCTTTAATTAAACCCATGTTCTATACTAAAAGGAATGTCAGGAACAGGCACACTGCATGCTGCCATACCACCTATTCCTGCTGCCACACCTCCCATTCCTGCTGTTATACCACCCTTTCCTGCTGTCATACAGTCAATTTGTGCTGCCATACCACCCATTTCTGCCAACATAGTGCCCTTTGTGCCATTATACTGTTCATTCCTGCTATCATAAAATTCATTCCTGATGTCATACTCGCAATCCTGCTACCATACTGCCCATTCACGCCATTATACTACACATTCCTGCCTCAAGGCCTCGTTAATAGCTATGAACAAGCCCATGTTGTACACTAAAAGGGGATTCAGGGACAGGGCACTGGAGGCTGCAAAACTACCCATTGCTGGTGCTATAGCACCCATTCCTGCTGCTATACTGCCCATTCCTACCATCATACTCCCCCTTACTGTCACCATACTGCCCTTTCACAATACCTTACTGCTCTGTTTCATATTTGTGTCCATTACTCCAACAATCCAACTTATTCCTGCTGAAATGTGACTCATCACTGCTGCCATACTGCACTTTCGTGCCATCATACTGCCCATTCCTGCTACCATACTACCCATTCCCATTGACATACAATCCATTCCTGATTTTATACCACCCATTCCTGATGCCATACTGCCTTTCCTGCCGTTACAAAGACTAATCATTCAAATCAATTCTCCTTACAACCTTTGTGAAAAAGTAGTACAGTAATGCTGTATTCTAAGAAAAAAAAATCTCAAACACTTAAGACGTTAATATTCTAAAAACAATATATATTTTTATTAGAGCAGAAGTGAAATATTATTTAGTATTTACAGAAGATTTCTGCTGGTGCCAAAACATAAAAAAAAGTAGATTGCACACATGTAGACTGCAGTATTAAGCACAACAGCAATGCAAACATATGGATAGTTAATGCTTAAGTGTTATAAACCATTCCAAAATGCTATCTATGGGTACTGTGCTTAGCATAATTCATTCAGGGAGTACAATGAATATTATGAAGCTATGTTATTGTCTTTCTGCATGGATTTCATTGATAGAATTTCAGGAATGAAGATGTCTTGGGAATGTGAACCATTTCACAAGTTTCTTGCAGGTAGGCCTTGGAAAATATTGCTTGGTAGGAAACTATATGCTTCTCCAAAATATAAGCTTTTTATTGTTTAGTAAAGTTCAACTTTGGCATTAGGATACACAGCCACAACATCGTATCCCTCAGGAGGCTTCACTCTCTCCTTGGCGTGAGTCTCGCAGTAGAGTTGCTCTTCAATAAAGAAATATCCCCTCTGTTTCAGGTTCAACCCACAGTCGTCACACATGAAGCATTCTGGATGGTAGAGCTTGTCTCGAGCTTTGACTATTGTACCGCTGAATAAGAAAAAACATAAATCACTTTTTAATGCACCACATATAGCAGATAAAACTCCTTATGTTAAACAGTTTCTTACTGATACAGAAGTGTTTTAAAGTGTAAGCACACATTTAAGTGTCGTCACCTCCTCGATCCCCAGACCCTTTTTATCACTGTTACCTACAATACTACTTTACACTGCTTTACAGTGCTTTACATCTCCAGTTTATTCTCCTCTGAGTACACCAAGCACATACTACAAAATGAATGCCTGGGCACTGAATGTCCGCAAAAAGTGGCCCTACTCAGTATCTGTGTGTACTGAGCTTCTGGGACACAAACACCTTTACCTCTTATGGAAGGTCACTGCAAAGGCAGGGAATTTGGAGTATGGGGAAGAAAGCTGAAGCTGTGGCCTGTAAAGGTTTATGTGTACTTGGGCAAGCTGGACAGCATATTCTCCAAGTTACTCCAGTCGGAGGCTAAGGACTCTTCCCACCCCATGTGACAGTACTGGGTCAACTACAAAACACCAGTGCTGTGATATGAACTATCACATGTTACTCCTTACCCAGAAGTAATGGATATTTCATTTGTTCCAGAAGATCCATATTTGTTTCCTGACATACACTGACACCTAGCTCAATATTTAAAAATTTTCTGCCGCAGCCATTTCATATATGGGTTGTGTACAACATATTGCTTAAAAACAAATTTGAGCTCTACTATAGCTATTTATTGTTGGGTAAAGTTCTGTATATTAACAAATTGGGAGTAGGGTTGTTGGTACAAAGAGACACAAAAAAAAAGGGGGTTTAAAGAGAAGAAAGAAGGTTCTGTAGATCAAGCTACATGCAAACATACTACTTTAATTTTGCTTGGTGAACTATATAGTGAACTATATAGTTGAATAAAATTCTAACTTCTAACTTCTTTTCGTTTTTTTAAAAGTAATAATGTATTTCATAAATGTAACCTGTAAAAAATGGCATGATCATTCACTTGTGCCTAGGGCAGTATGAATTCAAAATAGAGCATGGACACAAGACAAACCCAGTTACTGCAGAGCATTCCAACCAATTCTACTGTACTTTGGCCAAAGCAGTCATTCCTAATCTTCCACAGGTATGAGAGTGTAAATTATGCTGGAAAGACTACTGATTTTGCCTGAATCTGAATGTAGTAGTATTATAAGCAGAGAAAATTTAGAATGAGTACTTTAGCTGGATAAACTCAATACAAGAGTCTTTTAGGTGAGTATAGCATTAGGCATATACAGTATATAGTGCAAGGAGCGGAGTACTACATGCAGATTATAATAACCCTTAGCAACCAAAAAGAATAACTTTACTGATGGATTTTGACTGGTTTCTATAGATATTACACTATAGGCTTAATATTTTGTGCACTATTAGCTGCAAATACACCTTGCCCACTCATACAATATACACCGGTCCATTGAACTACCCAATAAAAATCATCCCACACAGCTTTTTTTCTACATTTACATTTTCTTTATTTTACTTAGTACCATGATGAGCTTTCTCCAGCACAGCTAAACTACAATGACGTTGTTAAGAAGTAAAGAAAGGAGAACTGTATGTGCTTTTTTATTTGTGAATAAAAGATTGAAAGAAAAAATGCTTATTGACATTTTGGGCCAGTACCAGAAATGAATCCTTTCAGTGGGGTCTATTCACTAAGCTGCCGTAGGCAGCCGAGTGAATGACCGACTGACCGAGCAGAACAGAAAAAGAGTGAAAAAAGTTTTAAAAAAGTAAATAGGAAACGATTGTGCGGAGCTAGCAGTAAATAGGAAACGATTGTGCGGAGCTAGCAGTGACAGCTAGCTCCGCCCAATAGTTTCCTATTGTCCGGCGGGTCTCTGCTGC